GTCACGGACCCTACTTTACATAGAACCATCCTAATGTCTCATCTCTTTAGGCTGAGAAGCATTGAAGTTTGGGAGAAATGTATCGTCACCATTCGTCAGAGAGCATCTTTTATAATCGTGTGTCCCTAAGTAATTCATAGATTAAACAGTTTACGAGATGTGGGCTGATGCTTTGTTCTTTCTCACCAGCATATTGTCATTTAGAGTGAGAGCAACACAGTGGCTTGGTGTTTTGAGTTTTATCTTCAGAAAGAACTGATTGATATGAAATCTGATGTACTACTGAAAAATTACCAGTATGTGTTGCTAGGCTTTGTAGTTAAACCCATAATCTTTGAATCTGATTAATAGTGCCATTTCCATAATTCCCAGTGCATTTCAAAGAATTAAAGCATTGGGAGAAATATGTATTTGTTTATACAATTAAGTACTAGTAGTTACAGTAGAGCTTTCCTTATTGCCTATTGCTGTGTAACCACAGACAAGTAACTGACTGTCTCTGAGCCACATTTTACTCATGCTTCAGATAAAGCTAATAATGCCTTCTGTTAAAGTCTGTTACGTGTGTGTTTCAGTTTGCCTATGACTGCTGTGATAAAACACCACAACCAAAAGTGACGTGGGGAAGAGTTTATTCCAGCTTATAGTTTTTAGTTCATCATGAATGCAAGTCAGGGCCGTAATTGAAGTAGAGACCATAGCGGACTGGTACTTACTGACTTGCCCAGCCTGATTTCCTGTGTAAACCAGGACAACCTGATCAGGCAGTGGTTTTCAACCTTCCTAGTTCTGTGACCCTTTAATACAGAGTTCTCATGTATTACAGGGTGACATCCCCAACCATAAAAATCTGTTGCTGCTTCATAACTGTAATTTTTCTACTGTTATGGAACATGATGTAAATATCCATGTTTCCCAATGGCCTTATGTGTTGCCTGTGAAAGGCTTATTAGACCCCAAAGGGGTCAGGACTGACAGGGTGAGGGATGCTGTACTGGGGTAGCACTGCCTACTTCAGTCATTAATCAAATAAATATTGGCTATGGGCCAGTTTGGTGAAGCCCCCCCTCCTTTTAACCTTTTTGAAATTTATTTAAATTAGAAACAAGCTTGCTTCACATGTCAATCCCAGCTCCCTCTCACTCCCCTCCTTCCCCACCCTCCAACCTCCTGAATCCTCCACCCAATCCCAACTCCACTCTCCAGGGAGGGTGAGGCCTTCATGGGAGAAATCTCCAAAGTCTGTCATACAGTCCCAGGGCAGGGCCTAAGCCCTTCCCCATGTGCCCAGGCTGAGAAAGCATCCCTCCATGTGGTATGGGCTCCCAAAGTCCATTTGGGTGACAAGAATAAATACTGATCTATTGCCTAAGGCCCCAAAGAATGCTGAGGGGGTCTGGATCAATCCCATGCTGGCCTCTCAGCTATCAGGCATGAGCTCCCCCTTGTTCAGGTCAGCTATTTCTGTAGGTTTCACCATCCTGGTCTTGACCCCTTTGCTCATCGCTCCTCCCTCTCTGCAACTGGAAGCCCTTTTTAAATTGAAGTTTACTCTTCTCAGTTGGCAAAAAGAAAAAAAGAAATTCTAATCAGGACATTATGAGACTCACACTTTTCCTTTGTAAAGTAGGTGTGACCTGTGGCTGCTATACTAGTTTATCCAATAATGTTAGACTATATATGAATTTTATACTACTTAATTAGGGTAATGGTTTAGTTACAATGAATAATAACTTTTTTATAACAGGTAAGAAGTAAGAAATAATAAAACAAATATATTAACAAAATACAATATTGATTTCATTCTAGATACCCTACCAATATGTTCACAGTAGTGAGATCTTTTAAAGATTAGAATATATCTGTAGTATTTAACGTGAGCAGTAAATAACTCGCCAGTCTCACATCTCCTGCATGTTCATACATACCTGCTGCATTTTCTCATTCATGGAAATAGAAAACTACATTTACTGCAAGAAAAGCTTATCTGTCTGGCAAGCTAAACCCCAGATGAAAAGGTATGAGTTAGTGTAAACTAAGACAAAGCTGAAGTGCTTTCAGTGTTTGGCCAAACGTTCTTAGAGGAGAGATGAGTGTTCCAAGCTCAGAAGGAATGGAGAAAGAATGTTAAACCTAGAGAGTGAGGCCACAGGATGGACAATGCAATAGGTTGTTGTAGAATATAATTTTAAGGTATGTTATTTTTGTTTTTGCTGTGAAACATTTTTCTAACGATGCAAAGATGTGTTCCATTTTTTTGTTTATGTTGCATTTGTTTAACTCTGTGAAGCTGTGTTACTTTGCCTGTCTAGAACACCTGATGGTCTAATAAAGAGCTGAACAACAAATATCCAGGCAGGAGAAAGGGTAGGCAGGGCTGGCAGGCAGAGAGAAGAAATAGGAGAAATGAGGAGAGAAGGTGGAGCAAGAGAACAAGGAGAGGAAACTGCTAGGGGGCCAGCCACTGGCCAGGAAGTGAGAGTGACAGTAAAATATGCCAAAGTAAGAGAAAGGAAAAAGCCCAGAGGCGCAAGGTAGATGGGCTACTTTAAGAAAAGCTGACTAGAAATAAGTCAAGCTAGGGCTGGGCATTCATAAGTAAGAAAAAGTCTCTGTGTGTGATTTATTTAGGAGCTGCGTGCTGGGCCCTCCAAAAGAGCCAAACAGCTACAGTAGTTCACTAAAAGATGGTGCTGTGAGCTAGACTGCAGGGATTCCACTGTGGGTTCTGGGCTTCAGGGGATGGGGACTCATTGAATATGGTTAATGTGATTTAAAAGGAATGGTAAATGCTGGCACAGAAGACAGCATGGATTGATATAAAGAGAAATGAAGTGACAAAAGTCAACAGAGCAGGAGTTTTGAGCAGTCTAGGAGTGATGGAATTAGTGCTTAACAGTAAAAACAGGACCTTTAAAGTTGAAAAAGTACATTCCTGCATACCTCTCAGTCTGGGCTTTGATGTGGGCTGCCTGTTGATGTTAATATTACTTAAATGCATCTGATTCCTTAAGGAAAAGAAGCTAAGTAATTTAAACTGTTTGTCAAACTAAGTACAGTATTTCAAGAGATTAAAAAAAATTAGGTTTAATATGTTTTAAGTCCCGTTCATGTTCACTCAGTTCAGTATGTAGCTCTTGACTCTCACTTTAGCAATTATAGATTTCATTGTTATTAATCTTCACTCTTGATCATTTCTTCTTTGAGCTTCCCAGGGTTGTCATCTCTTACTTTTAGATTGCAGTTGTTAAGCAGATTTACATCAGTTTTTGTAGCTACCATTCTTTTTTTTCTTTTTCTTTTTTTGATCTTGCTAAATTCTAAATGTTATAAGTAAACAGTTTTGTTTCTATGACTACATAAACCTTTTTCACTGAGAAATTACTAGCAGAATATTTGTAAGGTTACCATCTTTTATTTATAAAATTTCATCTTCCATTTTTATTTCTTGTCTTAAAAAGAAATGCCCTTATTTTAGGTAAGTGTATAATCCATTCTGTTGTACAGATCTTTTCTTTTGCCAACTGTAACCCATCTCAGAGCCTTCCATCTTGTAGCCAGTACCTTTAAGGCTGTATCTTCATAAAAGTTTATATGCTTTTGCTTTAGTCAATGCTAATTTTTGTTAATTTTGAAACTGCATCTATTTTAAAAATCCCTGTATTTTAAAATACATGTAATGTTTATAAATAGAGGAAAAACAAATAAATGTATATGCTTCTCTTTGTTTTGGATCTGAAGAAATTTTCAGTATCTGAATCCTTGGAAAAGCTGATGGAGACAGATGCTTACATTGTTGCAATGTTAGAAGTTTAATGAGTTTTTTACAGATATCAGTAAAAAAAAAAAAGGGGGTAACCATGTACAAAAACATGTTTTATACCATAATTTACTTCCATCTGTTTTTGTAAGACTCTAGACTTTTGTAAGATCTACTGATTAGATAGAACTTGATAGTTTGGTTTTACATTTTAATCCATTGTTGTTCAGATTCCTGTTGGGTTTTTTATTAGTTTTCCACAGCTCCACTGGCCAATGTTTTCTTTAATTGAACCATTTTACCTTTGGTCAGCAACCAAATGTGACGTTAAGAAGATGTCACCTGAGTTAGAGGCTAATGTTGATTCTTACCATCTCTCTGTGTGAAGAATTGCACAACAGTCTCAGCTCACTTCCTGTGTTTAAAGAGAATAATATTATAAAAATGTCGAGCACCATCTATACTGCCCAAGCACTAGTAAACACACTGCCAACTTTGAGCCCTTTTGGCAGTAGCTTATGATACTCAAGGGACTGTATTTTTACAGAATGATGTATTTCAAAGGATATTGGTTTTCATTGTAGAGAATTCATGCATTTAGAGCAATCCAAAGCCAAAACAACTGAGTTTGAGCTATGTGTTTAAAATATTAGTCATCTTGAATACATGCCTAGGTTACGTGTCAAAAGCTATATTTTGTGCACAAAGGAAATTTATTGCTAAGAGACCAGTCCATACTTGTGCTTATACAGCATTTTCCATGGGTTTATTCTGAGTATATAAACTAATATCAGCCAGATTGTTGTATAGTAACATTATTGATAACAAAGGAGAAGTTCATTGAGGAGAAAAACAAATAAAGGAAACATAAAAATCTCATACTGTATGAAACTACAGAAATGGATCAAAGACTTTGACAGGAAGTTTAATGTGTACATAAGTAGATGCTGACAGAAACATGCTGTGTGTGCCAAAGGTTCCAGTGATGGAAAAGCGAAACATAGTGCTCACTGACCACAGCGTGAGCCTTGACACACATTGTAAATAATCCTGAGATCTATGGCTGCATTAAGCGCTAGGCTGCTGCTGTATTAACTGCAGTAAATCTATGGCAGGAGGGGAATCTGGCATGCAGAAATTCCTGATTAATTTTCTCCATGTAGTTGTAGGAATGGTGCCCTGCCCTGGGCCCCATAGCCCACCTCTGTGTGATCGTTTTTTATTCTCTGTTGCTCATCAGACTTGTGTGTGTGGATACTTCCTTCAGTACCATCAAGCTACAAGCAGAGGATACCTCTGGTAGAAAACATGTGATCACCGTCAAGTTGAAGGCAAAGGTACGTGCTGTGTTACTGTGTGACAGGAAATGCTGTGAGAAATGAGCTCTGGGTGTTTCCAGTGATTAAAAGTGCTGGTTATTTTAAAAGGACATGGGTGACTTTAAAAATTGATTTTAGAAAGCCTCAAGGAATTTATTCATCAAGTTTCTTAAAGTCTAGATATAATTTCCTTTCACTAATTTGTACCAAATTTTATCAAAATGCAGACTTTATAATTAAGAAATATTAAAGAGTCCACAGCCCCCAAGCACTGTGATGTTAGTGTTGTCATGTCCTGTGTACAAAAGAGTGAGTGATGTGTCCCCTGTCCTAATGAAGTTCTGCGGAAGTCTCTTGCCTCTACTTCTGACTGTGAGTTGCTTTTGTATTTCTTACCTCTTTCTTCATTCTACCCCTTAACACACACACACACACACACACACACACACACACACACACACACACACACGTGCACACGCGCGCGCACGCGCATATACAGTGCATACACACACATGCACAGTTTTTTATTTTGGCTAAAACTTTTGCATATACATATTTTAAGAATTTAGAAAGTCTATGTCTACTTATAACCTGTGTCTGTAAATAGTCACAAAACATTTGTTGTATATTTTCATTTCATGTTTAAATTTTAGCTCTAGATTGGGCATTTTAAGAAATAAATACGAGAGTTCAACATATTAATCATTCCCTTAGTAACAACTGAGGAAACATGAAATTGAAAGGAAACCAGGATATCCAAATTTTTATTGTTTCTGGTAGTCATCAATCAATTCTATTTCAGAAGATTGTAGTGATGTAAAGATCAATTGTATTTGTTCTTTTTAAAAATGTGTCTAGCATTTAAGGTTCTCAAAAGAGAAAATAAGCAAACATATAAAGTTTATTGGGTGGCACAGAAAAGTTGGTATGTCTTAGTGGCTCCAAGAGACAGCTCCAGTAGTGACTTAATTTCTCCTGCACACACATTTAGGTATAATTTTAAGACATATCAACAAATAAGTTGGATATGAGTCTAATTCATTTTTAAAATGTCATAGGTTTGTTTCATTAATATAAAGTTTTTTGTTTAAAGTTTTTAAAGGTATGTTTTAAAAAATTAGAAGAAATCATCTTTTATCCTTACAAAAGGTCACATTCAGCCAGCAATAGTGTTTCTGCCTCTTCACTCAAGTCACTGTTTTGGTCCTATTCACTGGTGAGGCTCACTTTGCCACCGGGAAGGTCCAAACCCGCAATTTTTCATGCAGTGTTAAAGTTCCTATGCTTCTAAGCAGACAGTGCTTGTGTCCACACTGCCTTCTATTCTTAGAGGACTTTGTTTATCTTTTATTAACTTTAAAGATTGTGGGATCCAGTGTAGCAAAAGATTTTTAAAATCTACTTAAGTATGACATTAACTTCATTAATCGCTGATAGCCAGCGATGATGTGGACATTAGTATGCTCCATTATGTCTGTTGCTTTTAAAGACATAGCTTTGCAATGTAGATGAGATAGTTCTCTAAAACTATCTTCCTGTGTTTTTTATGTCTATAGATTCACAATACTTGCTACAGACAGACACTTGCAAAGAAAAAAACAAAGCTTCATTTGAGGTGGGAGGAAATAGGGGGTTATATTTGAAAAAGATGTGGGATCTTAATCTTATGTTGGTGGCTTTTATTAGACTTATCTATTTAATTTAGATTTATAGATATGCCAAGTTTATTTTCAATATGTGGTCTCTCCTCCTCTCCTTCCCTTCTTCCCCACTCAGTATTTGGGCCTAGGAATATCAGGTAAGTAACATTAATCACTAAAACTATTTGATATGAAGGTAGAGTATAGTATCTTTACCCAAACTATTTTTTTAAACAAACCTTAAATTAGGGTATTTTTTTGTACATATACAAACTTTAGTTTTTTGATTTGATATATATTAAAGAAGTGCATTTTGTTTTTTTTCTTTTGTTTTTGTTTTTATTCTTGAACACATACTCTCCCAATTCTACCACCCTCCTTTCCATCCCCAAACCACAGTGAACATACAATACTTATTTGGGCAAGACAATTGTTAAATAAATAAAACCTGTGAAAAACAACTAAGTGTGTGTTAGAGGCCCAGTACTTGGGCTTTGTGGTTTGTGTGTTCACTTGGGGGCAGCCTTCTTGGTCAGAGCAGACTTGGTTAAATGTGTTCTGGAGTAATAGACCATAGAATCTAACAAGTATTGCAAAGAATGTATGTGCTTAATGGTATATAAGTCCTTGAAAATTTATCATTTGGCTTGCTTCAAGAGAGATTTACAGAATTATTATATTGAGAAATTATTAAAGCTTACACTTGAAAAAATTTTTCAGTCAGTGTCTCACTGTGTAATTCCAGTTGGCCTAGAAGCTGCTGTATAGACCTGACTAGCCTCCAGCTTGTGGTGATCATGCTTCTGCCTTCTGGGTACTAGAGTTACACATGTGTGTCACCTTGCCCCATTCCTGTATGCAGAGTATTGTAAATTAGATTTCCAAAATAAAGGTTTTCAGGCCAGAACTCTACATCAGTTGAGTAACTGCCTTACCCAAGACCTTGGATTCCATGCGCAGCACCATCAAAACAAGCAAAAATAACAATATAGTTTTTATAACTACTGCAAGTTGATATTACATATACCCTGAAAACTTAAGAGATGTTCCAACTTTGGCTGGGTGGTTAGGTACATTGTATTTAGTTCCGTACTGTAATTTAGCTACTGTAGTCCAGAAGCTATTTGGAAAATGAATTTAGACATGCTACTTCATTTCTATGATCCCAGCACTTGAGAAGTTGAGAAGAAAAGATTGCCCCAAGTTTGAAGGAAACCCAGCTGTACATTTAGTTGAGTTCGAGTGCTAGACTGGCCTACAGGGTGAGATCCTATCTCAACCCCCCCCCAACAAAAAAGTAAAATAAAGTAAATACCCAATATGTAACTTTATACTTAAATGATTCATAAAAAAACCACAAAACATGTGAAATTGCTTTTTGTCTCTTATATGCAGTTTATTTGAACAAATTGATATCTCATGTAATTAATAGTAATATGTGTATTATATCCTTGTATTTATTGAACTTACACCAAATGTACAGTAAAACCACTACAAATCAGCTTAATTCATTAGAAGCCTGTGTGTGTTTACACAATTGCAAATATATACAAAAAGTGTCATCACCTCACAAATGATAACAGAGGACTTATTGTATACACCGGATTATCAATTACTGAGCTTGCTTCTTTAAGTTAGAACTGGAACTGGCCACTGATAGATTCCAATGTGATGAATAGCAAGCCACAGTGAATCAAAGTTTCTATTTCTGAACCAAAGCGGGTTTGAGGGTGCATACTTACTATTTTTAAACTCTTTAGTATCTGCCTGTCATATCTCTATCTCTCTCTCTCTCTCTCTCTCTCCCCCTCCCTCCTTTCCTCCCTCCTTCCCTCCCTCCCTCCCTCCCTCCCTCCCTCCCTCCCTCCCTCTCTCTCTCTCTCTCTCTCCTGTCTGTAATCTGTCATCTGTCTCTATTCATCTGTCTCTCATCTATCTACCTATCTGTCATCACTCTACAGTGTGTGTGTGTTCTATGGTAAAGATGATGAAGGTCAGCTCTCGGTAATCAGCTCTCCTCTTCCACCATGTGAGTCCCCGGATTGAATTTACAGTATCATTCTTCATGGAAAGTCCCTCTTCCTGCTTAGCCATCTGCATATTCTGCACACTTTTAAAGATTTCTGATAATTTAGAGGAAATGGATCTTTGTTGTTGTTTGAGACAGGGTTTCTCTGTGTAGCTTTGTAGACCAGGCTGGCCTTGAACTCACAGAGTTCTGCCTCTGCCTCCTGAGTGCTGGGATTAAAGGAATGTACCACTGCCTGGCTTTTTGTTTTCTTTTGAAATGAATCATTGTAACACTTTAAGTTCTGTCATTTTTTCCTGTGCAAGCCTGAGAAGTTACCTGTCTCATTGAGGATTGTTAACAGTTAAGTGGTAGCTGGAGCCAGAGAGTGGAGAGATGGGGCTGTTGGGAAGGGGTGCTGGGATAGCTCACATAACTTAAAGAAAAAAAAGTGTACATGTTTTTTCCTTTATGCTTACAGCCCCTGCTCTGAAATATAACCTGAAATATCTTGAGTTATCTGAATATTCCCTATTTTTCCTTAACCTGCTCTTTTTCTTGTGGAAGGATTAAGCAGTATAATATTTTTTTCTGTGGCTTTGTGTTAATTTTGTTTCTAACTTTATATAGCCTGATAGAGTTAATTAGTATGAATTGATACTTAGTTTCATTTTAGTCACACTTACTTGATAGCAAAATATTAATTTCTTGGAAAACATTGACTTCAAATATAGTTACTTAAAGAGAAATGTTATAACTACATCTCCTCTTCTTCCTTCTGTTCCTATGATGTCCCCAGGAAAGTAATGAAAAATAAGAGACTAAAGAGTAGAGACTGGAACTTGGAATAGTTTGTCTTAGGAAACTTTTTAAACTGATTTTTTTTTAAGGAATTTAGCTTTTTAATGGCAAGTAATGGGTATTTTTACTTATAAATGACTGTGAAGATTTCAGAATTATATTTTAATTGATTTTGAAACATAATTCTCTAGTAAGAAATTTAATATTATAAAAGCTATTTTTTATCTTTGGTAACTTAGAAACCTGATTTGTTTTTATGACTCTCATTTTTTTTATATAACCAACTAGTTAATTTTCTAATAACTTTACCAATCTTAAATGTTTATTCCCTAGTGAAGTAAGGGATGTTTCATTAATTGTGTTTTGTTTTTGTTTTTTGTTTTTTTTCCTTTTTCTTCTTCATATGAATAGTTGAATATTATGGAAAGTCACATTTAAATTGACACTATGTATAATCATTGTTGTGTACTTTTTGATTATTTTAATGATACTGTCTAATCAGTTGGTGACTGAAGCTTATTGAGATTAACTTTGTGACAGGAGGCATTGAATTCAGTTGGTGTAATCTCTGTTTAAAGAAAAACTGACAGTTAGCTTTGGTCCCTCCTCAGATCATATGGCCATCTCTGATACTAACCTGGATCACTGCTGCTTACTCAGCACTTTTTGGAATTCCCTTCATCACTGAACCTTGGATCTCTCAAGCATGGGGTGGCTATTAATCAGCCCCTGATACAACTATAATAGTAAAATTGTAATATGTGCATGTGTATCTATATTTTATATATATATATTCCATAACTATTACAGCAGTATATTATGTTTATGACTATAATGCTTTTTATAATGTGTCTAGTTTTCTGCAATGCTTCTGTCACACAGACACAGGAATGACCTACTTTCATGTTTTTTCACAGTATCCTGTAGAGCCACCAGATTGTGTTGTAGATTTTCCTGTTCCGTTTTCTATTTCCTGGACACCACAGGTAAATAATAAAGATTATTTTCAATAATTGAATATTATATTCTTTCTAGTTTAATGATCATTTTAGAGTCTAAAATTATAAAATTATTTGTTTTTAAGCATTTATGTTAACCCTCCTGTAATAATTCATATTTTCCAAAAATTACTATCTATTTTCTCTCTGTACACATGAGCATGAACACACACTTATATAGATCTCTTTACTTTAGGCAAACATATAGAAGTTGTACTGATGTACAGTGTAGTGTTAAATTTAAACCTTAAAAAACTCTTTAGAAAGCAGTGAATGTAAGTGTGTGGGATTTTGTATGTTGATAAAGTTGCTCATATTGATGATGTGTATATCCTTTATAAGAGGGTGATGAAATGTAAATTGTACTATGTCTTTTGTGTCTGTGTTTACCCTACTTAGACTAAGTAAGTTTCCTAGTACATTGATAGAGATTAATGCCTTTGTAATCCTTATATAAACAGATGTTATATACTTTGAAGGAGATATTAGTAATAAAATATCTTTTAAAATTATGGCAGGACAGCATCATGATGAGATCGTTCACTGTCCTCCTTTGCCCCAAGTCAGTTTTGGTAATTGGCGTATGTAGGAGAAAACAAACTCATAGTGACACTTTGCAAGTGTTCCCTAAGTGGAAGTCCTCCATGTTTTTGTTCTGAACTGTTTAAAGATATGCAAAAGTGTGTGTTTAAATATCCATGAACAGCTATATTCTGGTTCTTAAAATATGCTTTTTATTATTGTATGTGTTGATGTGTGCAGGCAGTTGTGTGCTATAGTGCACATGTGGACATTAGAGACAGATTTGTGGAGTTGGCACTTTCCATCTTTATGTAGGCTCCAGAGATTGAACTCAGGTTATCAGCCTTGAGTGGCAACCTTTGCCCAATGCGCCATGTCACCTGCCCATAAATTAATTTTGAAATGCTTAAGAGGACATAGGTTTGTAAGAGTTTAGATAATTAATCAGATATTTTAAGTCATTTTTTTCATTGTCTTCTTTAAAAACAAGAACAACAAAAGAAAATCCCATTTTCTTCAGTAGAATTTGGTAAAACACAGAAAATAAAAGGAAAGTGTAATTTTCTTTTGGTACTAGATATAAGGATTCAGACATTGTGCTGGCTTGTCCCTGTCACCTAGCAGAATGCACTCAGGGTACCCTGGTCAGCCCAAGTGCAAAGGGCCCCTTTAAAAGAAAGACCCCCACCCTCTTATGCTCTCTCTTTCCCGCGCTTTCTTCCCACTCTTCTCTTTCCAATCTCTTTCCTGCTCTTCTCCAATTTCAGCTAGAGAAAATGGATTTTTTTTGTTGTCCTTGTTTTTAAAGAAGAAAATGAAAAACTTTAAATATGACTGAAAATATCGGATTAGTCTGTCCTGGGGCAGACGGGACTTTTCCTGTCTCCCTCTTCTCTTCTGTCCTCTCTGTGTCTCTCTGTCTCTTTACCTCTTTTTTCTGCTCCACCCCTCTCCTTTCTAATAAAACTTCTCACTTAAGCTCTGTCTGCCTGACATGTTTGTCCCTCTGCCTCAGTCACCCTCACCTGCCATGGAATCCACTAAGGTTCCCCTCATGATTTATCCTAACATTAGATGTAGCCCATAATTTATAAAAGTAGTGTTTCTTTTCAACAGTTCATTTGCCTATAGATTATATTATTTTTCCTTTAGCAACATCTTTTTCATTTGACTCTGGAAGCCTCATCTTTCAGTTAAACTTCCTTGAGGTCATGACTCTGCATGTACATTGCATGACCCTTTGAAGATGCTGTGTGTAATTTACACTTTATTATCTGTCTTAATGATGAGTTTCTCAGTTTTCTTTTTATTGTGGATACTGTGTAAGTTTCCCTGAAAGGTCATGGAGAGTATGTGTGATACTAAAATTAGTTTTGACTGCTACACTGGAAACTGCTTGAGAATAGTTTATCTTAGATTTGGTGTTCTTGCTTTACACACAACTTGGGCTTATGATTGTGCAGTTAATGTGATATTAGTCCATTAATACTTTAGATTTGATTGTTGTAAATTCTGTTTTCTAATAGCTCCAAGCAAACAGGATCCATTAGTATTAAAAGGAATATAATATTTTTTAAATTTGGAGAATATATTAGAATTCTTATCAGAGTTCTAGAGAAATTAAGATTCCTTTTAACCCACAGCTCACATTTGACATGTGTTATTTTGTCACATTTGCTTTAGATGTGTATCTAAAATCCTCTCCCTTTCTATTAGAAATAAAATGTTCTTGGAGCCACACTGGCCTCATTTCTTCTGTGTTCTTTAGTTTTCTGAACAGGACTCTCTTTCCCTTAAATTCTAATTATGCTATCCATGCATATTCTTATGCTATATTTCAATGTAGGGTATTTTAAATTGGTATCATTTAGTTGATTTATCTATACTCATCTCTGTGTGTCAGTTTACTCATTTAAAATGCTGTTTTTATGACCATCAATCAGTTAATTTGTTTACTACTTCTTTGGTAAAGTTATCCACAGTTTTTATTATCAGCCTGCAATAGAATGCTTCTGTGTACTTCCCAGTGCATATGTATGAGAATTTGTGTATGGATTATTCCTATTATAACTGTTACATGGGATATGCCTCTTTGAGGTTACTAAATACTGCCAGCTTGTCTTCCAAAATTGGTTGTATAAGTCTGTACTTACATTCAGGCACATGTAGTAATTCTTATATTACCATATTTTATTTTGATCATAGTCTGCCTTTAATTCTTACCAAGAGTCGATAATTATTGCTGTGCTCATAATCTTTGCCTGTTAGAAGTATTTTTAGAAGATGTGCATCTCTCATACTGTTTTCATACTAATGCTTCCCTGGTTACAAAGAATGTAAATATCTTTTCATGGCATCTGTTCTAACTGTGTGTTATATGTTTTGTCAGACTTTCAGAGTGGTCATATATCAGTCTTAACGGTTTTGATTTTTTAGTATGTCAAAGAAAATGAATATCTTTTTTTTCTGAAAAGACAGAAACTTACAGTTTGTTCTAGCAGTTCGAATTTGTTCATGTTCAAGTATCATAGAACAATCTAAACCTCCTGTTTTCATTATACGTGCCGTGTGGAGATGTCTTCATTTGTATCTGTCTGAGGTCATTTCAGTTCTTTGTTTTTCTTTTGAAATACAGTACATGTAATTAAAATTCCAAAAGATTCAAAAATTTTTGTTTGCATGTTTTTGTGATTGAATATGAACTCTGATTCTCTTTAACATTAGAATATTGGCTTGTTTCTGGAAAGTAAGACTCAAGGTACAGTAACATTGCATTTGGTGCTTCTTCACAGACTGACTGGGGCAGTTCTGCTCCTACAGGTTTAGGTGCTTTGTTTTGTTTTGTTTCTTTTTCTGTCTTTCTTTTTTTAAATTATTTTTTTAAAATAGTTCGATCCTTAAGCAAATGGTTGTTACTGTTGTAGTCTAGTAACAAAGTTGTATTAAAACAGTGTAAATAGAGTCCACATAACTGATTTTACAAAGTCTTTGTCTGCTTCTGTACATTTCTTCTCTGGCTCCAGTGTTCCTGGACTTTAAACTCAGAAGATCTTTATTTTCCCTTCTTTTTGTAATATAACAGACATGGCATTGTGGCATCCTTGTTAGAAATGGGTGATTTTCCGTATGGTCCCCGTCTTCCTGCTGGGCTGATAATGTTGTGATGTATTTTTCCTTTGCCCTGATGAGAGGTCTGCTGCTGCTGCTCTGACATGTTCATTTGGATGAGTAATTATAACGTGCACAGTGTCAAGCTGAAGATGGTAGGTTCTGTGCGTCATGACAAGCCCAGTAGCCAGTGCAGGTGTCTCACAGCATGATCAGCACCAGCCAGTGGATTCTGGCTCGGAGGGGACGTTCAGAGTCACGAGAATCAGCGGCAAGGGCAAGGCTGCTGCAGCTACTGCTGCAGCGCTGTGTGCCAGAGACACAGTGTCGGGGGCTCCTCGGCTGCTCCCCGTGTTTGCTCAGTTTTCAGGATACAGTGTAAGAAGTGCTCGTGATTTGTGTCTGCCTCGTGCCACATGTGCTGTGAAATCCATTACCTGTAAGATTTCTGCACACAGAACATATATGTCAGTATCGTCAGCTGATAGATAGATTTGAGTGTGCTAATGTCAGATTTTTAGTACAAAATGAAAATCATTTTGTCTAGGTCACAGACTAATCAAAAGTACCTGTTTTCTACCTGAAAATGTGTCATAAAGTGCAGATCTGGGGAAGCAGCATTGCCATGGGCAGTTGGAATACTTAGGTTTGATGAGATACAATGAGCAGTGGCCTGTGTGTTTCTGCCATGGGGAAATCTGATCCTCTTGGGGCCGTGCCATGGACGAAGAAGAGTGACACTAGCAATGGGGCCTCTGGCAGGCGATTCTGATGACTGAAGAGTGTAATTAAAGAAAGAGTCCCATTGAGCAGCAGGGAACAGTCTACCTCAGAGCTGCAGACCTGCCATTGGGCATCCTTACTTCACTTCAGTGTGCACTTCACCCTTGTTTTGATGGTTTTTTTCTTTTTGAGACAGGCTGCACAGGATAGCCCAGGCTGTCTTGGAACTCATTATGTAGCTCCAGCAGTTCTGAAACTTCGTGTAACCCTTCTGCCTCAGTCTCCTGTGTATAGATTGTCAGTCAGGATAAGCCACTACACTTGGCCCTTAAACCCTATAATTTCATACAAGTTTCTTGGCTGCCTTTTGTCTCAGTTCATACATACATGAACTTTTCCTCTTCACAGATGTTCAGGGAAATATACTTTGTTACTTATAATCATAGCTTCAGCAAGCACACAGAGTGCAGCTATCTGGTCTAAGAACGCCATTGGAGTGACAAGCCATCAAGCCTTGTGTTCCTCCCAGCACTCCGTTGTTGCCTTGGTCAGAAAATTCATGGAACCAGGATTTGCTTTACTCATGAGTTAGTAAGTTGCATAAACTTTTGCTTTCTTGGCATATTATTTTTGTC